CCGGGGGTGGGGCGGAATAATGTTAGCCCCTGGAAAATTTTGATTCCTAGATTGCGGGAAGTGAGCTTTTCAGACTTCTGAAGTATCTTTTAATGACCTTTAATAAAAACAAAATCAAGGTTTACCCTATTGAAAACGGTCAGGTAAATTTTTCTGATTTTTAATACAGTGTGTACATTTTTTTTTTCTTTTCTTTTTTTTTTTTTGAAACGGGGTCCTCCCCCATCAAAATTTTGATTGAGCATTTCCGACATTTAATTGTCCAATTGTAACACAAAATTCAATAATCAGCTTACGGGTCCTGGAAAAGTAAGTCTAGAATTATTTTTTAAATATTTATTTATTTAATGTTTTTGTCCAAGGGGGTGTGGTCAGGACCCTGATCCCTCAAGATCCACCAATGATCTCCCTCCCCAATTCACTCCTAGATATGACACTGGAAATCGAGTGTACTTGTTTTTACATTTGGCACCCAATGGCTGCAGGAATGATTTTATCGTATACCTTAATTAAAAAATTGCGCTTTTGTAGGGGGGGGGGGGTATATTAAATAGCTTGCTAATTGCAGGGTGGCAGATATTGGCAGCTAAACTTGGCATTAACGTAAAGCTTAGGTTCTGCCAGAAATGTTGATGTCAAAAGCATGACGAAAATCGCCGGCAATTCTAACTTTAAGTTGGTTTTATGAAAAAAATGTTTTTAAGCGTTTTTGGCTCATATTTAATGTCCTTTATTCTAAAAATATACCAATAATGTCATTTTTTATTTTACTATCTAATTTAGTTAACAATAGGCAAATACTGCAAGAAGTATCAAGTTGACTGCTTTCATCTAAGTAAAGTCATAGAGAGTTTTTCAAAACTGTCAATTTCATCATTTTACGAGTAAAATACAACTTTTTCATGTTTACATGGTTATATCATACTATGAAAATTCACTAAATATGAAATTATTGGTGGATTAATATAATTTAGGATGTTCTCGACCTCAAACAACCTTTAAAAGTTGAAGTTGAAACATTACCTATTTTCGACTTTTGGCACACTTTGAATTGATTCTGGCCCACTGTGCGGCGGGGTCCAGGGGCAGAGCCCCCGGTGGGGGTCCAAGGGGGCTTGAAGCCCAGCACATTTGAGGAATATGAGGTTGTATTGAGTTGATTTTGACTATCTAGCATGGTAGTTTTCAGTAACAAGTATACAAAAAAAAAAAAAAAGGTGTATGCCTTTTAAAAGAAATTTTAATATACAGGTTACCTGCAATATGCAACTGACATGTGTCATTAAATTAGTAATAATTCATCTACTCACAACATAATCTTTGACAACAGTGGTGGCGACAGAGGGGCAAAAGGTCCTGACGGGGGGGCTAGTGGAGCGAATCGAGTCTCACTTGGCTGGGGTCCGGGCCGCCTAGGGGCCACGGATATTAGATGAATTATGGCGATTTGTTATTACTTACCGTATTTGATAGGCATCGAGTTACTATAATAGGACTTCATGTAGGCTAAGCTTTCTAATGTTAAAAACCAGCTTCCAAAACCAAAACATTTTGAATAAAGCAAGAAACAAAGAGTATGCAATGTAACCATCTAATTTATTTAAAAATCCTCATTCTTGAAAGTGAAATTCTATATTTTGGAAATTTTGCATGAAATATGTTAACCACGCTGTCATGGTCGAGTTTGCTTCACCTATCACGATGATTCCAACAATCATGAGGCTATCTAAATGAGCATTTGTCATAACAGAACACAAATTATTTTTAATTAGTTTCATTGAATTATTATTATTATTATTATTGCTGTTGTTATTGTTGTTGTTGTGATGAAAAGTTAACAACAATATGATGGCTAAACGAATATTACATGTAAATATTTTTTTTTATTTGTTTTTTCCCCCGACAAAATGTATCGCCTTCCCCGACGGGAGGTCTATTCTTCTCCGAGGGGGGAATTTCAAAAGAAAAATTTCACTTCTAGAAAACATGTTGAAGTTTCTCAGCAACATTGAACATAAAAATCACAAAATTAGCAAAAAGGAAAACTAATATCCAAAATCCGTTAAAAAAAGTCGTCAAACAACAAAATCCGCTACTGTATATTATCATTGAGTAAATTACAAGTGTTCTATTTCTCACCAAGTGGATTTATAAATAGCACTCTCCTAGGGTGTTTTTGGTAGGAAAAGAAGACTTAAACACTGTGGGTGTAATTTTTTCTTTGCAAAAAAATAGGAGTGGGGGGGGGTATGCGCCTGCTGACCTCGATGATAGAGAGTGATTGATTGCACAAAGGTTTCCATGCTGGTGCATCTACGCATAAACTGTCTTTGTAGCTGTGCATTGCGCGATGTGACATAGAATCAACCTTTCTATCTATGGAATTGTGTATCCATTCAAATATCTAAAAAAAAAAAAAAAAAAAAAAAAAAAAAATTATTTTTTTTGTTTTTGTTTTTTTTGTGATATAAGGGGGGGGGGGCGTTAAATCCGCCCATGACCACCCGATTCTTGTAGGCCTACATGTACAGACGGTGCGATAGTACCCGTACAACTTCCGCGCATCTTTAAATGTTCGAACCTCAGCCCCAACCATGGTGGGGCTGATGTAGTGTGGACCCACACCCACCCACTACCGCCAAATCCTGCATCCGCCCCAGTGCTTGTCTTTAAATCTAATTTTCACCAATCTTCTATAATTAAATCCCCACTTTTAAAAGCGAATGGAAAGAATAACAATTACGCATGACTCGTGAATTTTGTCTGTTCACTTTTCTAAGTGCGGTACGTATTTTCCGGACCAAAACCGGGTAAAAACGCAATTGTTTATACAGTTCCTAACCATCTCAGAAACCACTAGATCGACTTTATGGGTGCAACGGTTATCAGATGCCAAATTTATTGTGAAAATAATTTACTGAACGTTGTTAAAATTGGATGCGTGTATACTTATTAGACTAATATTTTTTCAAACTCAAAAGTGCACAATTTCTACTACAAACTATTTTTTCCTTTTGTATATTATTATGACCCGTACGTGTATTAGTGTTTAATATTATCTACATACATAGGATTACTGCTTTTCCTAATTTCAAAAAAATTATAGTTAGTCAATTGAATTTTATGTAGCCATTATTAAACAATAATTATAGCCTTATTAGTGGTACAAAAAGATTACAAACACCAGTTTTATGTTGACGCAATCTCGCAGTGACGTCATAATAATCAGTGGCGGATTCAAGTGGGGCCGAGCCGACCCTAAATTTTTCAAAATTATTTTTAAAAAATGGAAAAAACAAAGGAAAATTAGAATTAGAATTTAGGTCTGATAGTGCTCATTTCAGGGTATCTAGAGGTGTCATAATCATAAATTTTCTTTCCTCAGCCCCAACCATGGTGGGGTAAGGTGATCTAATTTCATAAATTGTGCAAGTCCCTCCCTGTCCCCCCTCTAATTTTCTTTCCTGGAGCCGCCACTGATAATGATAAATTAAGTAAATCACCTTTATGTTTGTAAAATCAAAATGCTTACTAATGTTTTGTGTGCTCCCTATTTCCCTATGTCCTGTTCGATCGTAAATTAGACGGTATTATGTCCACTCACAATAGTGTAGTCGCAATATTACTTACACAAAAGTGAAATTCAAAAAGCGGAGAAAAGCAAAACCTCTTGATTGATTTTAAAAGTACTGTACATGCAAAAAGACTAAATTAATGACTGTTTTAAGTTTATCTTGTTTGTTTTTCATGGTTCAAATTTTAAATACGTTACAAGCTAATCAGTAGATAATAAATCATTATTTTTATGAATATTAGTTTGCACGAAATAAATAAGGGGGCATAATTATGACTAAAAGGATAATTTTAAAAAGTTTTTATGATGAGTATTTTAGTGGCAGATACAAGGGGCCCAGCCGGCCCACCATCCCTAATTTATTTTTTTTCCCCCGAAATTTAAAAGTGGAGAAAAATGAAAATTATATTCAAATTTAGTCTGAGAGTGCCATTTCCGACCAACTAGAGGTGCCATAATCATAAATTTTCTTGCCTCAGCCCCGACCACGGTGGGGCTAAGGTGGTCTACACTCTCCATCTGTAAAAGTCCCTCTCTGGGCCCAGCTCTATTTAAAATTACTGGATCCGCCACAGGATATTTTGAAATTTCGTATTGAAATAAATGTTAATTGCATTGCTTAAAATCAATTAAAAGGCTATAGGCGCCAGAGCTTTCGGAGGCTTCGCCACCTGGTCCCCAACCAAGGCTTGGGCCTACGGCCCAAGGCTGTATTTTTCACTTCGTTCCCTCTCCCTCCAACTTTAAACCACGGATCGACGCCCTTGAGGGTCACCGTATCTAATATGGTTTAATTTTTTTTCCAAAATACACTCACATTCCATGAGACCACCCAAATTAGTTTACCACACAATATCATATTTTCGCCGGGCCTTCGTAGGTAGGCATACCCGCCGACGGGCCTGTGGTCCCTTGTCCCCACTTTGCTGCTCACATCAATCTTACATGATTCATAGGCCTACTGTGCCGTCATCATCATTCAACAATTTTTTTTGTTAGACTCAAGTTCTGGCGTTTCAAAGGATTTAATTGATTTTAGAGTCTATTAATATATAGAAAATACATACAAATTTTTTTCTTCCCGATAAATTGTGGTTTTTCTCCCCGACGGGGTGGGGGGGAGGGGGGTGAGCTCTCCCTAACGGGGGCCCTTGCGCCCCGCTGGCGCACTTAAAAGATGAAGGGGCCTATTACGCGTACACTACTGAACAAACGGATAATTATATAACGGCAGGAACAAAATGCGTCTGTTCAATCATGGAAAATTAGCTATAAGGCCTGATTTTATAGGTTTCATGGTTCAATGCAGTTGATTATTACGACACACAAATCCAATACTGTAATAGGTAGGAATAGAGGGGATTCCCCGCATTACTGTTTGTAGAAATCTATTGTAATAATTTATATATAGTCTCTAAGTTTTTTACAACAGGTGTCATAAATATTCGATTCCAGTCCTGGTCGACATCCTCTAGGAAGACCTAGTATGCCAGCATAACAAATGGGGATGAAATTCAGTTCTTGTTTCTTTTTCGTGTTCCTGTCTCTCCGATTATATCCATTTGCAAGCGCAACTCATTTTCGAGGAGCACTTTTTACCTGGAGGCCAACTTCAGAACCAAATCAGGTGAGAATATAATTTGAAAGGTGTATAATAACTGGGAGCGGTTATGTCAATGATTTTGATTTCATCCAAATTACCTTCACCAACCGACGAGTATGATTTAACATACTATTTTAAAACCTAGATGCCAACATTGCACTGTTAACACAACAGCCAATTTTTCTAATGGTGGGCAAATCCATATTGTCGACACTAAACAACCATTTAGGTGTGTACATTATGATTGGTGTGAACAGAATGATTGGTTTATTTTTTTCGGTTGCTGGTAATTGTTCGCCCGATGCCATGTCTCATACACATCCCTTTTTACCGATCTTGGAATACGAACTTCCTGCATGGAGTCCTCAGTGTCAAGATCATGTAAATCGTCTTTATTGCAACAGAGAGTTTCCATGAGAATTCTGGGAGGCATGATCCCATCAATTACAATGCACGACTTATCACTCTCAATTGGCTTTCTT